AAGGGATTGCGGTGTGACCATCCCCCCTGGGGGGTGATTTCTCGCTTTCTGTCTCTCTGTCTCTGTCTGTCTGGCGAGTGCACGCACCCTATAGCAAAAAAAAAAAAAAGAAAAGAAAAAAAAATTTGTTTGTTTGTTTTTTCCATGAGGAGAATGACAGAGGGACAGCACCCCTAGCAGGCTCCCAGTACTACAGTTGATCCCTAAATTTAGTCATCCCTGGGTCGTGGGCAGACGTGTGTCTGGCATATGGAAAGTGGTGTCTGGACTGGAACTAAGAATCTTCCTGTGTCTATCAGCATCACAGTGGTGTGTTTTACGACCGCTTCAGTGTCAAGCCCCCTGTTAGATAGATTCTTTTCCCTATGTAATCATGGGTGAAAAATGTTGGATTGCAACATGCTTACTTTCCATATTTAGGTATATGAAATAAAGATGTAATGTAGTAGAAACACTCATAAATTCCTGCACGACGTTTTCATATTCTAGGAAAATAGTTAACACAGCCCGAGTTCAGGTCTATAACATTGATTTTACAGGAGGCATAGGTTCAGAAGGGAGTGAGGTACAGAAAATAGTTACGAAGCAAATATAACCAGATTAAGGTGGGGGTCTAACCACCATACCACCTGCTGGCCCCCCTATAATTGTTAAGTTGTCATGTTGGATTGGTCCTTTTATCTTTATAAAATCTAACTATAGTAGCAGTTTTATTTCAAAGTGTATTCAACATGATAATGGCTGACTAATATAGCTCTTCTGTGGTTCTCTTTACACGGTATGCATATTTTTCCATCTTTCAATTTTCAGACTGTTTGTCTTTGAAATTAAAGTTTTTGTCCTGTTCACAGTATGTACTTTTTTCTTGTCTGTAACTTTTCATTGTATTATTTAATCAATTCACACTTAATGTAATTCAGGGGATTGGATTTATATCTGCCTGTATTGTTCTTAAATGCCACTTGTGATATACGACAATTCCTATTTCTTTTTTGAAATTTTTGTTGTTGTATGTTTTTTAAATTTTGCTAGAGGTCATGTGTGTTGATCACCAGAGAGAGAGTAAGAGAATACCCTCCATGGGAAATGGTCATACCACAGTCCCCACTTCTTTATGTCTCCCACCTTTCAGGATTCTGGGCACACATACATGCATATCTAACATATTTCTCAAGCCATTGGGTCTGGGACTTGAACTGCAGACTCAGCCATGTAGGATCAAGCTGCCTTAACCACCATGCCATGAACTGGCCCAATAAGTCCTATTTCAATATGAATTTATCTGTGTAATTTGTTTATACTATGGTCCCTTGGTATTTCTCTGTTATCACCATATTATAGTTTCATAATATTTGTTAGTGTCAGGTAATATTATTGGCAGTTACTCCCATTGCTTTAATTCAGAAATTGTTTGGCTAATTATATGTTTATGTTTATTTGATGTTTAGATAAAGTTGAGAATATTTTTGGTCTCTTTTTCTGTAAAAAAAAAAAAAAAAGCATATTGGGGACCAGCAGTTAGTGTAATGGCTATGTCGCTGGACTCCCATTTGGTTGACCACAGTTTGAGTCCTGGACCCGGTGGCTTAAACTCAGACCGAGCATGTGTGTGTGCATGTCCAAGATGCCGAGAGGAAAATGGAGGAGAAGGGGTTGCGGTGTGGCCATCCCCCCTGAAGGGTGATTGCTCTCTTTTCCGTCTCTCTTTCTCTCTCTTTCTGGCGAGCGCATGCACCCTATAGCAAAAACCTCTCTAAAAAAAAGAAAGAAAAAAAAGCATATTGGAATTTATTTTGATGGGATGCCATCAAATTTATCAATGAAGTTTGGGAAATTGGTCATTTGGTAAAGATGAATTTTCCTTGTCTATGTATATGTTATGTGCAATCAAGTCTTTTTATGTCTCTCAATAAATTTTTATTTTTTCATATATTCTACATCTTTTTAGAAACATGAGGGCATGTTTAGAAACATGGCAAGTATTGTCTCAATAGCTTTCTTTGGAAAATGTCCTTTTCTTCTGTTTCTCTGAATTGGCATCTCTGTAACAATAGATGTAACTAAAAGCAAGGGGTATTTTTAAGGGTTTCTCTCAATAGTTCAACTGGTTTATTCATCTCATTTCTAGTTCTACACTGATTACTGTTACTTTAGAACATATGTGTGTGTGTATGTGTGTGTGTGTGTTAGTGTTATAAAACATAGCTTAGCCCTATCAAATTTACCAGATTCTTCAAATTTTATTTAAAAAAAAAAAAAAACTAGTGTTTGGTATTACTGATCCTGTGATATGTTTGTCTTAATTTTTATTTTGTCTTAAGAATTATTTATTTAATTTTATTTTATTTATTACCATTTATTTTTTAATTTTACCAGAGAAAGACAAAGGGAAAGTGAGAAAGCAAGCCACCAAGTCTAGGACTTAACTGCAGTTGGCCATGTGGGGATCCAACGCCTTAACCACCACACCTGTTGGCCCCAATATGTTTATTTTCAGTATCTCCTTTTTCTGTTGTTGACTTTTACTTATGTATTTATTTATTTTAGTTTGTTATAAGGTATGTGCACTTGCAGTGAAACATGAGGCAAGAGGAGAGGGTGAATTATACTTCATGCCACAATCCCTTCTCCATTCTCCTCTTAGGATTTTGGGCACACACACACGCACTGGTGTGTTTTTGAAGCTACCTGGTCTGAGGCTCAAACTGCACACTTGGCCATGTGGACTCCAGCTGCATAACCATCACTGACTGGTCCTATTTTCAGTATCTTTCATTTTTTTTCTTAAAATTTTCTTTTTTCTAATTTTTTGGTTAAAATTTTTCTCTCCTAAGCTATCAAGATTGATTCATTAGTGAATTCTTCATCTTCTTAAATTTTACGTATTTAAAAATGTATGCTCTCATTTAATCTTTTTATAATTGATTTTATAAATTATTTTTTAAGTTTTTGCCATAGGGTGTGTGCATTCACTTGAGAGAGACACACATAGAAACAAAGGGAAGATAAGAAATCATACCCTGAGGGAAGGTAAGAAATCACCCCCCAGTGGGGATTACCAGGCTACAATCCCTTCTTCATTTTCCTCTTGGGATTTTGGGTATGCATGAATGTGTGATCTGGCAGAATTTTTTAACTGCCAGGTCTGGGACTCAAACTGCAGTTGGCCATGTAGGAATCTAGTGCTATAACCACTGCATCACTTGCTGGCCCAATTTTATAATTTGTAACAGCTATTTTGTGATATAATTGACATACAATAAACTGCATATATTTCAGGTATATAATTTTCATAGTTTTGATATATATAACTACCCATGAAACCACCACCACAATGAACATAGCATATCCTTTACCTTAAAAAATTTGATTGTGAATGTATACCACAAGGTCTACTCACTATATTGTCAACAAATGCTGATATCTTGTACAGACATCACATATTGTTCATTTTCTTTTTTTTAAGAATTATTTTATTCATCATCATTATTGTTATTATTTTAATTTTGCTATAGGTCACATGTGCTTACCAGAAAAAGATAGAGAGAGAGAAATCGAAAGTAAAAAAGCAAGCTACCAGGTCCGGGACTCAAACATGGTTGGTCATGTGGGAGTCCAGCACCTTAACCATTATGCCACTTGCTGGCCCCCATCCCATCTATCTTTTAAAATTTATATTTGCTTTTATTTTTTTTCCAGCAGGCATAGAGTGGGTTGAGCTGTTTTGGTGGTATAGAAATGTACTTTTGTGCAGCATGAATACAGTAGAATTTGTCACTGGAAAGCATTACTGGAAAAGTGTACTACAATATATATACTTAATAATGCATATTTTCCTTTACAACCTTGAGTCAAAAATGTTAGACTGCAGGATACATACTTTCTGTGAGATCTAGGCATATAAATGGAAGAAGTATTCTAGAAGAAACAATAATATGGAATCCTGAGTGGTATGTCTGTATTAATAGGAATACAGTTAATATTGACCAAATGTTTTTCTATAGTTTAAATTTTGATGACAGCAAATTTCTTCCTTTGGGTTACTGTAATTTATTTAACAACCAGCCTTAATATTTTTAATTATTTTTCATAGTAATATTTTTACTAAGTCAGTAGCAAATACATATTTTTATTTACTTAAGTATAGCATGTGTGTTTCGTCTCCACTAATGAATAGAATTGTGGGTGCTCCTTCAACAAGGTCTTTTTAGCCCATTCTCCTGTGTAAGGAGGCTGTCTTTAATCTCTTGAGAGCTTTACAGAGGGAAATCTCGGAATAAGCAACATCATTTCTCTCATGACTCTATTCACTTTCTCTTCCAGCTATAATTCTAGAAACGTTTACATTTGTCCAGGACCAAGGAAATGAATCCATTCTTGGTAAGTTGCTTACTTCTTTCTCAACATCTTTTATATCACATTTCAGAAGCTTTATGAGGGTTCATAAATTAAAATAGCGAAGTAAAAATAAAATTCAGCTTTGGTAAAACACACATAAAGAAAAGAAAGTTGGCATGGTGATATAGTCATGTTTTAAGAACTTAGCACCATGTAAGTTGAGAGATTTTTGTTGTTGGGCCCATGTGCTTGCCAGAGACAGAGAGACAGTGAGGGAGGAAACAAGAAATCACTCCCTAGGGAGGATACCTGTGCTGCAGTCCCTTCTTCTCCATGCTCTTCTTAGGATTTTTGGGCACACATGTACACATGCCTGCTATGAGTTTCAAGCCTCTGTGTCTGAACTGCGGTCAACCACATGGGAATCTAGCACTTTAACCACCACTCTACCTGCTGGTCCCCTTTCATGTGCTTTTTAACCAACCGTGTATCTGTCTTTGAGAGTTGTCTGTATAAATTGATTGCCCTTTTTTAAAGTGGATTATTAGGTTTTATATGAGTGAGCTGTTGTAGTTTCCCACATACTATGGTCCTCAATTCCTTATCTGAAGTACAGTATACAAATATTTTCTCCCACTCTGTGGGTTGTCTCTTTATTCTGGTTTTTGTTTCCTTTGCTGAGCAGAACTTTTTTTTACCTTGTTGTAATCACATTTGTCTGTTTTCGGTGGTGTCCTGCTTCCTGATTTTTATTTAAGAAATCTTTGCCTACTCTAACATGTTGAAGTTGTTTCCTTACATTTCTCTCAAGTAGTTTTATTGTTTGAGCCTTTATATTAAAATCACTCATTCATTTTGAGGATTTTTTTTTTTTTCACTTTTTTGTCAAAGGGCATGTCTACTCTCCCAAGCAAGTCAGAGAGAGAGGGAAAGTGAGAAATCACTCCCTGGGGGGATGGCCATCCTACAATGCCTTCTCCTCCACTCCCTGGGGATGTGGGGTATGCACACACATGCACTCTCCATGATTTTCAAGCTTCCAGGTCTGGAACTAAAACTGCAAAATCAGCCATGTGCAATTCAGTACCTTAACCTCCACATGCTACCTGTTGACCCATAAAAACAAATACTGTCACAGGTAAATCCTGAGGAAAAAAGACTGTCTTCAATAAATGGTTCTGGGGAAAATGAATATCCACCTGTATTGGAAAGAAACCAGATGCCCATCTTTTACCAGTTGCCGGGGACCAGCCTCGGTGTGGGAGGGTATCTCGACGGAGGCGGGGAAGGTGAACAGAAGGCAAAGGCCTCGGCGCCTTTTCATGCACGTCCTATGCCGGACACCCCTCAAAGATCACTCTCTGAGGAGTGACCACTCCTAGGAATCATTGTGCGTTTTTATTGAAAATGTGATACATGCAAGTAAATGGGAGAGGGGCTATGTGTTTCAATTATCAGCTCATAAAGTTTTTAACAGTAGAGAACATAGATTCTATTCAGGGTTGGATTAAGGGTGGGTCTAGTGCAGTTCTGCAATTGTAGGTGGGTCTCCATGGAATGCAGTTTCGGGAAAGCGGTTCCGGTAAGCAGAGATGATTATCAGCTGATGCGGCCGCAGCAGCCATCTTGTGATTACCGGGAATGGTGCTGAGAAAAGAAAATTTCAAGTATGGATATTAGTTCTTATGGATCTTAACAAAGAATGGAACTTACATAATTGTATAGGGATCTAAAACGTAATTCAAGGAACCCTAATATATCTTAAAGGGGTAAAACTTACTGTTTGCTAGGTAAGGGCGGGGACAGCCTTTTCAACTGGTGGTAAAGTGACTAAGGAGTTAATTAGGAACTTTTAAGATGAGTTTGAGGCATTCTATTGTGCCTGTGGCTCCACTGTTATGTATCTTGTTGGAACATTAGCCATAGTGGGGCAGGAGTGCCCTGGGCCTTCCAAAGGTTAGGAAGGTTGCTAACTAGATGTGACTTCATCATATCCTCCATTGTGACCACTGGAGTGAAGCATTGTAATTGACAGTAGGTGGTCAGAGCAAAGGAGAGCGGTCGGGGGACTTCCTGGAAGATTTTATCATATACTCAGGATGTATAAGAGAGCTACGTAATTCTTTTATAGTAGTATATTGGGGAGTGGGGGGGGGGATCGCTTCCCAGCAAGGCTGCCACAGTTTCTGGAGCAAAATCCTCGGTCGGGTGGGGGGGGTGGTTTTCACAGCAGTGGCCTTGCCAACGTACTGAACCGACCTGAAGTGGGCGGCTCAGACAGATCCTGGGGCCCTGCCGGGTCGGACTCCTCCAACCAGTTACAAAAATTAACTCACAATCAGGGCAGCAGGTGATATGGTGGTTAAGGTGCTGGCCTCCTGCATGGCCAACTCCACGGTTTGAATTGTGGGCCAGGCAGACTGAAAAACACACCAAGTGCTTGTATGTGCATGCCCAAAATCCTGAGAGGAGACTTGGAGAGGGATTGCAGCATGGCCATCCCCCTGGGAGGTGATTTCTCATTTTCTCTATCTTACAAGTGCATATACCCTATAGCAAAAACTAAAAAACAAAACAAAACAAAAACTTATAAAACATCCATTTTATGTTTTTGAATTTATTTCTGGAGTCTGTTCCGTTTTTGTGCCAGTATCATAGTGTTTTCATTATCACAGCTTTGTAATATAGTTTGAAATTAGATTGTGAAATACCTCCATCTGTATACATTTTGCACAGTATTGCCATGGCAATGTGGAGTCTATTTTTCCAGACTGATTTTTTTTTTTTTTTATATCTGTGAAGAATGTTGCTGGTAGAATTTGATATAAGTTGCATTGAATTTATAAGTTAGTTTGAGCAGTATTGACTTTTTTTATTTTTTGAGAGATTTTTATTATACAGTGTGTGCTCAATGGTGAGACAGACAGACAAAAAGTGAGAAATTACCCCCTAAGGGGGATTGCCACACCACGATCCTTTATCCTCCACTCAAAATCGTCTCTCAGGACTTGGGGTATGCACACACACACACATGCTTGGTGTGAGTTTTAACCCACTGGGTCTGGGATTCAAACTGCCAGTGACTACATGGGCATCCAGCGATGTAACCATTATGCCATCTGCTGGTCCCAGTATTGACATTTTAATTGTGCTCTTCCAATCCGAGAGCAAGGGCTATCTTCTCATCTTTTTTATTTTTTCTATGTGTTTTTCAAATTCTAGTTTTTCATTGTTTTTGTTGTAGAGTTTCTTCACTTCTTTGATTAGATTTATTCCTAATTTGTTTTTGATTTGTGCGTGTGTGTGTGTGTGTATTGTAAATGGTATTGCTTTCTTCAATTCTGTTTCAGTCTGTTAACTGTTGATATTTTAAAAAGCTACATATTTTTGTATGCTGATTTTGTGTCCTGAAGTTTTACTGAATTCACTTATTCTAGACATTTTTTTGTGAATTTTTTGTGATTTGTCTATGTATATAATCAAATAGTCAGAAACTAGGGATAATTTGACTTTTTTCTTACCTATTTGAAGGACTTTTATTTGATACTCTTTCCTGGTTCCATTGGGTAGGACTTCCAATACTATATTGAAAAGGAGTAGAGAAAGTGGACAACCTTGTCTTGGGACCAGCAGTTAGCGTAATGGCTCTGTTGCTGGACTCCCATGTAGTCCACCGCGGTTCACGTCCCAGACCCAGTGGCTTAAAACTCACACTGGGCGCATGTGCGTGCGTGCCCAAGGTCCAGAGAGGAGAATGGAGGAGAAGGGATTGCAGTGTGGCCATCCCCCCTGGGGCGTGATTTCTCGCTTTCTGTCTCTCTGTCTGTCTGTCTGTCTGTGTCTGTCTGGCGAGTGCATGCGCCCTATGGCAAAAACCTCTTAAAAAAAAAAAAAAAGTAGAGAAAGTGGACAACCTTGTCTTGACACCAGCTGCCATCCATAAGGGATCCAGTTCCGTAATTTCCATGCCACTTACTGGCCCTACTATTTCTATATCTTGCTTTAAGTACATAAAGTTATACATGGCTTAATCTTATCTGTAATTTGAAAGTTTTGAATTAATTTGGGTTTGATTTAAGTATTCTCTTTTCTTAAGTATAGGTATCATTTTTCTGTTATTTTACTGAATAGTGTTTTTATATTCTACCTTGGATATTTTAAGTCATACTAAGTCACAGAGATTGTGAATACTGTCATATTTTTCAGAAGATCTTTAGTCTACAAGGTGATTAACTGGAATTCAAGTTCCAAATTCTGTATTCTTTGCAGTGATCAGAAGCTGTTTCTCCATTTCTTCCAGCTTCCAGTGGTTCTTCTTTTTTTTTTTAAATTATTTATGTATTATTATTAGTTTTTTAATTTGACCATAGAAAGAGAGGGAAAGTAAGAAAGCAGACCACCAGGTCTGGGATTTGAACCATGGTCACCCATGTGGGAGTCCAGTGCCTTAACCACCACACCACTTGCTGACCCCTCTGCTTTTTTTTTTTTAAAGACATACTTTTGCCATAGGGTGTGTGTGTTCACTGGAGACACAGAGAGAGAGAAAGTGAGCAATCCCCCCACAGGGAAATGGCCACACTGCAATCCCTTCTCCATTCTCCCCTTAGGACTTTGGGCATGTACCTGGCATGAGTTTTAAGCCACTGGGTCTGGGACTCAAACTTCAGTTGGCCATGTGGGAGTCCAGCACCTTAACCACTATTTCACCTGCTGGCCCCAAGTGGCTGCTTTTTTAAGGTCCACCTGAGGTCTCCTGCATATGTGAACTTTAGTAATTAGTCAACAGTTTTAGTGAGTTTTGTGTATAAATCCTGGGGATTATATACTTTAGCTTTCTCTTTTTTCGTACTTGGGCCCTTTTCCCCAAATTTCTGGTTGTCCTCTTAGCCCTGAACATCACCTTCTGAAAACCCAAGCCAATAAAGTTGCAGCTTTTACTTCATTGATCTGTGTGCAAACTGGAAGGTTCTTTCTGGTAAAATGTCAAAACTTAAGAGTTTGTTCTTTAAGAATTCTCTCAAGACCAGAAGGTAGCACAG